GACTTCATACTGAGGTTGGCATCGTGCCGCTACATCTGCGCGGCCGAGGGTCTTGGCAGGCCTTTGTGGCTGCCTGTGACGAGGAAGGAGGAGGCAGCACCATCGAGGACTCCCAACTCTGCCGTCGCTTTGGCCTGACCCAGGAGGTATTGGCGGAGTGGGCTGCCGAAGTTGTCCCACTCCTTCTGTCGAAACTCGCACATCTGTCAACGCTGCCGCGTCGCAGACCTCGGGAGCGTCGGACTGCCGAGCTATTGGCAGGTACGCCACTCTTTGGTGCGCAGGCGCGGCACAGCGGCGACGTTGTCACCACTTGGGTGTATCTGGGAGCGGTCCTGCAGCAGCCTTACTGGCACCCCGATGCACAGGGCTGCTTTAACGCCAGCATGAAAACACCTAACCCTGATGACTCCTTGCGAGAGACCTTGCAGCCACACGAAGATGCCTTGGGATGGGCTAGAGGAGCCCATGAACAGTGTGCTAATTCCACCCTCTTCGCCTTGAGCTCCGACCACTGCAGGGTGTGTAGCCTGCCGGGGCCCTTCCTCTTCATGGCTAAAACGCTTCCCCCGGACCGCAAATGTATTGGCCCGGCCTTCGTGCACGGATACGGTGCCACCCTCTGGCGCAGCTGGACCGCCTACGCTCATTGCCCACCCTCGCAGAGACACTTTGGGGGTGGCGGGACGCCCCACCCTGGTGGGCAGTCTCTAGCTTAGGTTTGATGGGAGCCCCTGGCTTTAGCGTGATAGCCCCCGAGCACTTTCCTGGACCCGGGGCGAGGCGGGTCCTCCCATTTCGGCGTGTCACACGGCATCGTTTTTCGCAGCACATGCGCACGTGGGCGCGCTGACGGATATGTGCCCTCTTGCCCGCGGCTGAGCTGGAGCAAGTCGCGGCTGTGTCTGCCCCTTCCCCCGCAGGGGAGCCAATGCTGACACTTGACATGATGGATCATCGCCTGGTGCCCTTCCTGTACCGTGCTGTCCAAGGCTTTGACATGGCACATGCAGATGACGATGACCACCCGGTGGCAGGTTGCCCTCCGGTCACGGAGGTGCGCATTGAGTGCTCCGGGGCCAGCACGTTTTGCGCCCCGGCACGCAGCGATGCTTGGCAGCTCATGTGCTCTGTCCAGTGCTATGGCCCAACCGGCTGCCTCGCCGAGACTTGTGACAAGCTGTCGGCCACGGCATCGGCGCGTCTTAGTGCCACTGGCCGTTTCACTAGCATCCTGCTCTCTCCATGGTTGGTGTGCTTCTCCGCAAACTGTGGGGCGATAGCGCCTTCCCGCCAATAGAGCACCCTCCCGCCTCTGACCAGGCCGCAACTACTGCTGCGACACTTGCTGCCGTCGAGATCGGGGCAGTGGGCATGCCTGACTAGGCTCTTTGCGGAACTTCTGAGCCTCCCTTGTCGGTTAAAGATCGTCCATGCCAGTGAAGACTTCTTGTGCCCATGGGTGCCCACTGAGTTCGCGTGGGCCGCAATACGAGGTGCCCCAGGCATACGCGCTGGAGGCCTGCATTGGTTGACCGACGTGCCAGCAGAGTTCTTTGGGCTCCAGTGCCATAACTATTCCCACCTCCTTCTCCGCGCTGGTCTCGCACTGCCTGCCCGGGTGGATGTTACCGCCGCACGCGCCTATCTCCCCCTGCGTAGTATGGACAAGGAACTGGAATGGGCTTTCCACGCTCTGCACTTCTACCGTAGTCGGGGATTGGTAGATAGTGAGGTTGGGGAGGTCATGACTGCCCTTTTCCCTCACCGTGTTACCGTGGCATTACTCCAAAAGCTAGGCACTGTGGCTTCCCTGCCGCAACCCCTCTCCGACGCGGTTCGCTCTGTCACCACAGCCTCCCTGCCACACTGCATTACTGCGCTGCGGACATGGATCATTCAGGAAGTGCGGTTGCGGTGCTATGAGGAGAATAGTCCGGTCAGCCTGCCTCTGCCGGCACCAGTGCAAACGTCCCTCAATGGGCTGTCGCTCGAGAGAGTGGTGGATTTCCTGCACTTCCATGTCTACAGCCAAGGCGCCGCGCTCGAGGACACTGGGCAGGAGAACCGCCGGATGTCGCACCATGACACCACCAAGGCGGTTTGCACGGGGTCTCCCGGTGGTGCTGAAGGTTGAAGACTGCCTTAGCTTTGGCACATACGTGCTTGGCTTATCGTGTCCCCATGGCTTCACGCCTACGGAGGACACTGGCTGGTTCTCGCATCGACAAAGCGCTAACCGGCCCCCCACAGAGGGTTGCCTTTTGCAGCTTACCTTCCGGCGAGGGCCAATGTTGGCAGTTTTTGTGATTTGATCGTTCCTGAGCGGGTGAAAGGCAAAACACGCGAACAGCGCAAAGCCGAGCGTCGTCACAACCGCCTCAATCCAATTGCTGCGCTTTTGCTCATCCGGCAGTGGCCGTCTTTTCTCGGGGCCGCCCCTCAGCCTGGCCATGACTGCAGCTGGGGCCTTTCCCTCCAAAGTCTGTCTTGCATTAAGGTTGGTGGCGCTCTCGATGTTTTCTTGCAAGTACTCAAAATGCCTGAGGCACGTGTCCCACTGGCCAGTGGCATGCCCGTTCGCCCGTGCACCCTACCTGCGCCACGGCCCCGGAGCCACTTCGCCTCGGAAGTGCATCTCGCGCTGTCCTTCTTGCAGGCAGTGGAGTCAGCTGCCAGAGCCCCTCAATTCCCACCTGCCCCTGACCTTACGCCGGCCGACTTTGTGCGGCTCAAACAGCGCATCTTTGCCCTCCACCCTGTAGCCAGGCACCACAACCCTCGGGAGCCATTCTGCAGCAATTGGCGTCTCCCGGCACCGCTGATCCCAGAAGAGCTGCACGCGTTGGCTGCCCTGATGGGACAGTCCTTTTGTCGCCACATTGCTGAGCTTCTGAACAGCCCGGATGGCCTATTGAGCGGGCACATCGCGGCCATTCTAGCCGCTCGGGCACAAGGCCGCAGCTCACTCAGCATCCTGGGCTGTGCGGGCTCATCCAAAACTTTCTCTCTGTGGTGCGCCTTAGTCTGTCTGGATGCTGTTTTGGAGCAAACGGTATTCTGGACAGCGCAGCAGCACTCTGCGCTCATTGCTGTTGTCCGTATTGCCTCCAACCTGTTGGTCGATGCCCCGCAATGGCTGCGCCCGCTTGTCGTTGTGCGTAGGGTGTCTGGCGATGCCGAAATGATCGACCCAGCTTTTGATCATGTGCCTTTCACAGAAGCTGCTGAACACCAAGCGGCCGGCTTAGGAGAGATTGCCACGACTCAGCCAGGATCCACGGGGCGTAACGCCCGACTTACATCCCCCTCAGTTAGCAGTGCTCACATGTTGCTGCTCACACAGGGCTCTGCCGCGCTGCAACTTCGTTATGCCTCCTATAGCGAGGTGAAAACCTACCTTACCAGCGCACATATCATTGTGATTGACGAGGGGCAACAGGAGGGACAGCCCGCCTCGGCGGCCATCCTTGCGAACACTGCCGGCCAGCTCGTCATTCGCACCGGGGACCCACGACAACCCGCGGGTGGCGGTAAAGGCGAGGTCCAAGTACGCACCCTGGCACGACTCATTGCCAAGCCCGTCGGCATCCGCGGAGTCGCCCAGCTGGCCCCGCAGCCTGTCTCCCCGGGACGCCTCGCCGCGGCACTGAGAGGTCTGGTTCAGTCTACACCGCAGGGGCCGCTTCACACTGTCCGCTGGACTAGCTTGGGACACCGTCACGACGGCCATCACGGCGCTGAGCCGCCGACGGGAGCCACCATAAAGTGTGTCGCGAGCTGTCCGAGTGCCTCTTTGGCATTGAGGAAGAGGTTGAGGTCAGCCTCGATGAGGATCTGCAGGAGCTACGAGGATGTCGGGTCACCCGACAAGGGATGAAATACTTCATTCCTTACTCAGGCATCACCAGCATAGGTGACCGAGTGTGCCCTCACCCCGACCGGCTCACGCCAGCGGCTATTGCGGTGGACTTCCTCCACCAGTCGGAGTCCCATACCTGGAGGACTGTTCCTGGCCAAATTTGTCCCTGGGCGCAAATTCGCGCGGGAACAAATTTCAAAAACAGGTTTGGCTTGTTCCTGGAGGAATTTGTCCCCGGGCGCAAATTTTCTCGGGAACAGGGCGACCCGTGTTTAAAAATTGTTCCCGGGCGCTTCTTTTCCGGCGAAGGGGTCCGCGATGTGAATTTGCGCTCAGAATCCCAGGATGTGGATCCGTGTTTCACTTGTATCTATGTACAAAATCATCCCCATGATGTAGATTTGGCTCAAATTGCTATAGTTTTGGCTCAAATTGGTGCAACTTTCTGCGTGCGGAGAGAAAAACCTTAATACCTTAAGTGGCTCAAATGCGTGTGTGCAAAAAATCCTTGACCACCTTAAAGACCCCATAGTACACACACACACATATATATGTATATATATGTATACACACACGTACATATAAATATAAATATATATATATATATAGATAGTTTTCCATATCTCGACTCCTTCTTTCCATTCGATCGATCTCTTTTTCTCGCTCCTCGATTTTTCATTCGATGGTCACAAAGAAGACCGATCCTCAGAATATGTGCGGACAACGGGGTTCCACAGTTTGCTTTGGCAGATATATCTGGTTTGTGGCAGCCAAGCATTCATAGCGATGTTGCTTTTTGATCCTTCGATGGCTCTTCCTATCTATCCATTGAGACAGGCGCTGCTTGTGCACTCCTGCAGTGTTGGCATTGCATGTCCGCTGTGATGTCTGCTTGCACGCAACACATGACATATATGACGCAGAAATCTCAGCGGCTTGCAATGCACTGCTTCCTGCATGAAAGCAGCACTGGCATCACAGCATATATTTGCTTTGCTCCATCTCTCGCAAACAGGGGTTTTGCGCACTGGTCGAAGAAGCCATGGATCGCATGGATTGCTGCCGAGCCTTGTCAGCTGCAGTTATCCTGGTATGCGGTCTTAGCGTGTCCAATGTCAAGCAGCTGGCTTGCTCAGAGATGACAGTCCTGCGGGACTGTGTGGATGCAATGCAGGATTTGTCTGTGTGGACCGAGATTTGCGATTTATTGTGCTGGTGGAAATGTGTACTTACATTGTGCATAGAAGCTTTCTCCCGTGCAGATGTGGAGACCGGAAACTTTCCCTGGCCAGCCAAGCTCCCCCAGCTGGCGGTCTTCGAAAAGGCAAAACCCGATCGTCTGCCTGTGGCCAAACTGTTGGAAAGATGGACGATGGAGCAAGAGCAGCTCCTGTTCTGTCGTTTCAATTCAAGCGTTGAACTTGTGCGGAAGCTCTTGGACAATCTTCCGGATGTAGAAGAGGTACGCCACTAGACCCAAATGGTGCGGTGATGGCATTTCTTCGTCATGCATGTCTGTTTTGCCCCCTTCCTCAAGTCTAATCAAGGCATTCGCCTGGAATTGCTTCATGTGCATATGACCGACATGATGATCTACATGCACGAGCACATCCAGCTTCGCTCTATGTCGGTGCTTACGTGGCTTGTGTGCATTTACCTGAGTTTCATTGCAGGGGTATATACATGCGTTGAAATGCATGCATTAAAGATTGGCAAACCCATTCTGAAGCCGAGGCCTGCTGAGAAACTGGAGCTTCAGGAATTGATGGAGAATTTCTTGGAGGCTCACAAGAAGCTTGGCTAATGTCTGGCGATTCATCATGTTGCATGGGTTGCAAACTTGTGGGGCGCATGGCTTTTGAGCAAGGCCGGAATGATGTTGGCGCGATGGTTCGGGCTGTCTGTGTGGACTGAGGACAGAATGCATGTGCATGCTGTTTTGCATATTCAAAGATTGGTGACCATAATCGGTGCATCTGATTTTTGGATTCGGGGTATCATTCGCATCTTGCATGCACTTTCTCCGTGCACTCTTGATGGATCGAGCCGAAGCCTTCCCTGAAGCATGGAACCATGCATGATGTGCACTCATGGCATGCGTGGCCAGATAGTAGGTCATGATAGTCTAGACGGTGCATTGCAGGCGTGCAATGACATAACTCGAGATCCTGCTTTGATTCATCTCGCTATAGCTGCAGCAGAGATTGCGATGAAGCGACCTGCAGCAGCACATGGTGGCAAGATGAAAGCCCCCAAGGCCATGAAGACGATGAAAGCCGCCAAGGCCATGAAGACGATGAAAGCCGCCAAGGCCATGAAGACGATGAAAGCCACCAAGGCCATGAAGACGACCAAGGCCATGAAGACGATGAAAGCCACAGAGGCCATGAAGTCGATGAAAGCCACCAAGGCCATGAAGTCGGCCATCAAGAAGCCCTCAATGGCTCAAGTGCAGAGCGATTCGGATGCAGACACTTCGGATGCAGACCCGCACTTGTTGAAGAACATCAAGGACGGACAGCCATGGCCCGAGAAAACTGGCTTAGACATTGTGCTCGAGGACATGCAGATTCAGCAGCGCAGGGAAGCCAATTTGGAGAAGCTTCGTGCGAGAATTGCACGCGGTTGGGATGAAGAGTCATCCTAGGGCTGTATAGGGCAGTGCGACAGCATGGTGGCTCGCAGAAAAGGATTGCATTGCTCGGCGGCCTCGCGATTCCTGGTTTAAGTGTAGGATCCTCGACCTCGGCGCATGAATCCCAAAAAATCGCCGTGCAGGACTGCAGTGCTGGCATCCAAATTTTGATCTGGTCATGGCTATGTTGGGCGGCTTGGCATGCAACTCTTGTGCTTCGGCTTTTGGCTTTGCTTGTAACTGAGGTTTTCTTATAAACTTCCACGATTTTGGCTATTGCTTGGCCGCCTCCGGTCTTGAAAGAAAGTCTGTGCCCTCCCGTGAAAGCCACAGTGCATGCGAGGTTCGTGTGCGAAAATTAAATGAAGCCCAGGATTCCCGGCCATGTGGATTTTGGATTGGTTGGAAGCTGCCGGTCGTTGTGGCTGGGTCCAGGACCGATGTATTCTAAGAAGATTTATTGTCGCAGCTTATTGTGTTTGCCATCTTGGTTGCAGGCTGGATCGATGGCGACGTTGACCTTCAATGTTGGATGGTTAATTCCGGGTCCGACTGCCTTCGACATCCCGCGAGAAAGGACGCTGCGATCGATCGTGTCTCCTGTTAAATTTACAGGCATTCATGATGGGTTGGTTGTCCCGATTCAGTCTGCAGTCGTGATCACGTTGCACTTTCATGCACCCTCGCTGTTTCAGTGCTAGGGGCCAGATTGACTTGCATGCACCTGGCTGATTAGAAGCAGCAGCTCATGTCGTGCATTATGCAGTGTGTTGTTTATATCCGGGGCCCCGGAGAGTTCTCTTTTCGCTGCTAGCGGCATGCCGAAGCACAATAAAAAACTCATCGATGACCTCCTCGCGGCCTGGAAAGACCTCGACTCCTGTGAGGATCGACACATGCCATGTCAGACATGTTGGTGGGACGGGGGGGGTGTGGATCCACGCATGCTTTGTGCACATGATGCATCATCAGGATTTCATCAAGCTGCCGCCGGATGACTCCGATAACAACAAGGAGGACAACCAGGACCAGGAGGAGGACACCAAGGATGATAAGGACGACTTTCAGGAGAAGATGGATCAGCTGAAGCTCAATGAACATGTGCTGGGACCGATGCTCGCTTGCACGCCGTGTCTTTCGTCGTCATGCTTGTGTGTCTTAATTCCCTGAAAGCAGTGTTCCTCGCAGGTCTTTGCGATGCTTCGAAAACAAGGGTTCCGTGTATAACCTGGACCACCTGGAGGAAGCCCTCAAGCAAAAGAACCCCGACGTCCCGGGAGATCTCCAACATGCTCAAGCTTGTGCTTTGAAGGGGCAATCTCAGTATGTCATCCGCTTGGCGAAGAAGTCCAAGAAAAGCCCGGCACCCGTCATGGTCCGACTGAAGGTGGGCTATTTCTCAGGGTGTGCACGCATGCAAATAGCACGTGACACGGCTGCTATGCTGCAGGCCTGCTGTGGGCCGAAGCTGCTGTCGACAACGAAGAGGAAGCCTTCTTTGAAAGGCATCAATCCAGATGCCATGGAGACTCAGCCGGTCAACGAAGGAAGCATCCCGGCCGTTGCAGCACCGCATTGCCTTGCAGAGGTGTTGCTTAAATTGGAGACGGCCCCAGAACTTGCTTTCCCGCACCATCTTCAGTACAAGAAGCCCTTCCGAAACCTCGTCTCCAGACATGACGCAGGAACTCGATATACTAATTAATTCACATGATGGATGTGTACCCTGTGGCACCAACCTTTCAACATCAATTAATTTTGCTGCAGCAGGAGAGATGGATCTGCTAGCCTCCAACATCGCTGGCGATGCTGAAGCAGTGCCTGCTCCAGATGCCGAAGGATCGCTTTTTGCGTGATTATGGATGAACCCAACCCATGCTCCTCATGCAGATTCTTCCACGGTGCAATGCATGGGCATGGAGTGCAGGTCTGTCCCCTGGACAAGACGATAATGAGGCTCGATTGTGAATTTTTGCAGTGTTGAGCTCATTCTGTTTCCCAGACGTGTATATGTGTGCTTGCAGGAGCAACAGGATGACTTGGAACAGCAGTTGGAGGATCCGTGTCAGCTGTCACTGTTGATCTTAAATCATTTTGCTGATTCCATGCAGGAGTTGATCGAGGAGGCATATGCTCCCGCAGCCGAGGTGCCGTTGTTTCTGCTAGGTGAGAAAAACCTGCCAGTGCATATGTGTGTACATATATATATATATAAGATGCATGCAGAGGTCTCTGCAATGCCTCCGTCGCACCAGAAAGATGCTCCTGCTGCATCTTCTGATCAGGAATTCCGTGGGTGCATGCATGTACTTATTCACACTACACAATTTAAAGTCGCTTGTGAATGTGCGGCATTGCCTGGGAGGACGTTCCGGTCGCTGCACCGGCTGTCGTTAATGCCGAGGCAGGGCTCACCGTTTGAGACACGAAAAACAATCTTGATGCATGGAGGCCTCTGCAGCTCCTGGCATCGAGCAGCCGAGTGCTGGATGCAAGAAGGCTGTGACCAGCCTTATTAATGGCTGGGCTGTATATCCTACTGTACGCTGCCATCCGCCTTGATTGCAGGCACCGAATCAAAAAAAGAAGCGAGCTGCAGCGAGTGTGAATGCAGAGGCCGCTGAGGATGCCCAGCCCGGCTTGCACGATTGACCATTTTTCTGCGATTGCATGCTGCAGGACAAGTCAAGTGGCGGTGTCAACAACCCCATGATGATCGCCTACCGAGCGTTTTGCTCCGAGTGCCTGAAGGATGGCTATTCCATGGGGGCTGCGGCCCAGATGTGGCGGGTGAGCAACCTGCGGAGGCACGTGTTAACTCAGAGAGGCGACCGGATCCTCGTGAATATTGCTGCAGGTCGATGATCGAAGCCATGAGCGAGAAGCAACGCAAGAAGGGTCGCTTCGAGCTCTGAGGTGTTTGCTCCAGTCGCCTATATGTCCTGCTAGTTTTTCAGATGTTGACTTCTCGCAGGACGGACTTTTTCGACTGGGTTGCGGGCATGTACGACATGCCTGTACGGGTGTGTTGCTGGACTCCTCTTGAGGGTTCCGCAGGCCGGGTATTTTGGGTGTCTGGACTGGATCGAGTTCAATCATTCTATGCTGCAGCTCATGGTGCATGCAGGGGAATATCTCGTGGCGGGGCTGCCTGATCTTTCGATCCACATGTGCGCCGAAATGCCCCATCGGAGTGCTCGTGTGCGAGTGTCTCTGCCTGTGTACGTGTGTGTCTTTTGAATGCTCATGTATACGCTGTGCATTATGTTTCCAGGATCCTTCGCATGTATACATAGACAGATTGTGCAAAGCTGTTGCGATGCTGCCTGGGCGATTCATGTGCACAGTGTATAAACATGCTCAACATAGGTTGCATGAGGCATCCTGCCACAGACTCCGCATTAGACGAACGTGAATTCCTGACTAAAGCAATGGTATGGCGGCCCGATGTGGCGGCCATGTTGGGCATGGGAATTCCCCGGGTGCTCATTCTCACATGCTACCTCCTCTCCTGCTGTTCCCAGTTTGAATCTTCGCTGCATGGATTCTGTTGAAGTATACATGGCTTTGCATGGGAACAGCATTGCCAACCTGTTGTCCGAGGAACTGGAGCTCCGGGATATTGCCGTGCTGGAGTTGTTCGCTGGACTTGGGGTCCCTCGAATTATGTCCCGTTCGTGAGCCACCTGTTGGATGTGTTCGTGTGCACGCCTCTCTGCTTTTGACTAGGTCTACATGCATGAGGAGCATTCTGTGTGCATGTGTTGTTGAGCACATGGTCTGAGGCTGTGGTACGTGAGGCGGATCGACGTGGATTCCAAACCGCTGCCCTGGACTCCAGCAGAGATGATGCTATGAACGTGCTGAGTCCTGTTGGCTTCCTGTCACTTCGCAGCATGTCTCAGTCTTTTGCCACATGTGCCGTCGACAGGAGGCTTTCGTGTTCATGTTGCAAGTGTGACCTCAGGGCTTCACTTCTGTGTGTGCTTCGCATGCAACATGG